GTCGTTTCCTCTGGAGTGGAGCGTTTATTAGAGGAATAAACTGCTGGTGTTTCTTCTCTGTCTACCACTACTGCAGCCAAGGACCATGTAACGGGCCTAACACCATGTCACATACATAATTTTTCCACCTATCAAATCGGAGCTGAATGTGTCCTGTCAATGTGTTTCATGGTAATCTGAGTGTATCAAGCAAAACTGAAAAAAACTATTTATCTTACATTTGGCACAAGTAAATGTGCGGAGACATTTCGCTTGTTTTTGCAAGGAAAAATGCCAGTTCAGGGATAAATTAAAAAAAAATAAAATCATTTACAGTTGGCTCCACGACACACAAACTGGGCAATTTTGTCTGCAAGAAATAATCCAGAAAAAAAATCACGAAAAATATTTCGCACACTTTATACTGCAATGAAGATCCCTTGGTTACCGCTCACTGCGACTCTGGATGTCCTTGCATTCGATGTCCTTTGCATTTTTAAACTCTTAAGTGATTAAATCCTGGCTCAATTCTTGTGAGCGATTATCATTCTGATTACGGTGAAGTATGAACGAATCGCAAACAGGTGAATTGAAGAGCCGCTCAAGCATTCAAGGAAATGCAGTAAAACAAGCATTTCCTAAAAAAGAGGAAAGAACGTCAAGACAGCTGGCATGTTGTGCAATTTCGGGCAGGACAGCGATCGGGCGTTCACTAACTGTTTCCAATGCCGCGAGGAAGTGCAGTAAAAACTCCATAAAGAGGCAAAGACTTTACGCAGATTTCATGTTTCAAAAAGCATAGACCTAGTGATGAAGTAGCCGCATTCTTCCACAAATACGCGATGATTTCAAGGAAATTGTACACTAAATTACAACTGATTATAATCCATCAAATAGGTCCGGCAAAAACTCCGTCATAACCATCTTTCCGAAAAATTCACCGTCATCCGAATCACTCCTCAAACCAGTGAGCACGTGACAACACAGGGGCATCAAGAGAGCAGCAAAGTTTTGTTTACAATCTTCACTTCATCGCAAATTTATGGATTCAACTCCTGAAAAAAAGTTTTACCCAACGGGTCTCGAAAACAGTTGCAGCCGCATTATGGGCGCCTTGCAAAATACGAAAATACACAATACGGACACAATGTTCTATCAAACAGTTTTATTTTTATAACTTGTGAATAAATGGAAAAAAAGGATGCCCACCAAAAATTCAACCAGTTTTTCTTTGACGAGATCAATGAAACAATTGGAATTCTGAACAAAGGGTGGTACAATAAAACGGAAGGAAAACAAAAAAAAAAAAAATGAAAGGTCAACTACAAGAGAGTGTCAGACGCAATCAAGCATGTATTTAGAATCAGAATCACTCAACTGTTTGCTTTTCTCATCCTTTTCGTGTGTCTGAACAAGCACTGGCAATATTGGAAGGCCCCTCGAACTTTCCGAATCAGTGTCGTTGTCCGAATCCGAGCTGGAGTCGCTGGAATATTGCCATCATTATGGAAAAATGCTCCCCGTCCAAATGGGTATTAATATGCTCCAGACCAGCGCCTGGTATACGCGAAAACCACGCACGGGACCAATCAAAGTCTATGAAAATCGAGCGCCAGAAAAAGGGGAAAGGACGCCAGAAAGAGCGAAAAAACGAAGTGGGTCCGGAAAGAGGCGGGACTTATGGGTACTTTAAGCATATAAAATTTTAAACAGTCAGTTCTACTTAGTTTTTAAACGTTGTAAATCTCTAATTTAGATCACTTTTTGATCGGTAAATTTATGGAAATAGGATAAAGTAAGACAGAGATGAGAAATTTGGCCAACAAAATGCAGAAGTGTGAAGTTCAGCAGAGGAATCGCTAACATACCGGACGAAGGCGCTAAACTATGGATAAAAATGGTACACAACGGGTTCGACTCAAAAACATCAAAAACGGTATATTTTAACAGAAAATGCACAAAAATGGCACGGGAACATAGAAGGGATGCGATTTTTTGATCCTTGAAAAGTCAGCAAAAAACCAACAGTTCTCTTAAAACAAAAGCATCTATAAAATCCCGAAAAAATTTTTTTAAACCTACACTTTCTTCGCGAATATTAATAGTAATGAATATACATAATGAATATACATATTACAACATACTTTGAGGATGCGTAGTCAGCCATTCCCGGTAATACACCAATCATTTCGTATGCTGATGGGCGCACGTAAGAAACTTTCATTGCGCTTGGTACTGGGCGACGCTTTGCCACAACGTTTTCTTCTTCGATATCACTGAAACAGCTCGTCATGATGTTCCAGTGGAGCCATAGACCCACAAAAGAACATATCAATGATTTACTAGACCCAAAAAAATCGGTGCCCACTTTGTGAATGTAAATTCAATTTCCAAAAGTTCTAACTGACAGCTTTGTCGCACGCTTGAGTCGTTCGACCTCAATTTTACAGAGCGAGAAACTATCGATTCATCGGTACACATAGCATACGATGTAAGCCAATTCCAACCTTCCAAGTAGTCCATGAGCAGTGAAATTGTCGACAACTTTTCCAGCTAGTGGCTACTGCTGGCAAAATCACTGGGACTAATTTCATTTGTTTTCACCTCTCACAGAAAATAGAACACCGAAAAATCTCGAATTTCGAACACACTGTGTCTACAGTCAAAAATACTATCAATTTTACCAACGAAATAATGAAATGCTTTATAATTTATGTCGCTTTTTAGGTGATAAAGCATTTTTAATAAAGAGATTTCTAACTCCAAAGCAATGGTACTTAAATGAGGCCACCATCAGCCTGGTGAGTGTAATCAGGGCAAGTGTAAATTAAGTTTTCCACGATCCATGCTCATGTCTGAGAAAATGAGTATTTTGCTTGCGCCTCACATATACGCTTTCTCATCTCTTTATCGCCAAAAACCGTAACAAACTCACCTTTTTCTCTTAATAGCGCCATGAAGTATTGCCGCTTGTCGACTGGGTGTCGGGGTTACGCCATTCAGTCTAGGAGGTACAGTTGATATATGAGAAACTACGGCCGTGGTTTCCTGGGAGACTTCAGGCGACCGCGAACGCGCCATTTCACTCAAAATTGCCTCCTCCTCCTCAAAATGCGCATTTTTTTTAGTTCCAAAATATCAAAAATGATCAAATCATCATAAGTTACCGTCACTTGTTTTAAAATCACTGACAACACTAGAGTTATACTTGAGGACAGTACAGCCAAAAGCCTAAAAAGCCGCTTCTTTCAAAAATCGCATGCACAGATTCACAGACATCGATGCGAATAAGTAATATCCAATATAAATTTAGAACTATCACATCCATATCTCAGGTACTAAAGCATGCCGAGAATAATCAGCAGATGGAGATTTAGCAGGCTTCCTCCCAAAACATCATTGTTTACAGGGGGCATCTAGCTGCGGCAAAACGCACGGTATTTTTAACTTCATTCATAAACCTCATTCCACAAATAAATGCGCAAGAAACCTTCTTTTTCTCGATCTCCTCTTTTGCCTTAATTTCATCAACCCTCTTCAGAAAGTCACATTCTTCCTCGTCCAACCCACGAACCATGTTTTCTGAAATATCCAGGCACTTATCGTTATCACTATTGAAAAGAAAGCATCATTTAATCAGCACTTACTACACTTTTCCTTCACATTTAAATTTTGATCTTGCACGACGGGGTATTTTAAACAGTGTGAAGTGAGAGAAATAAAAAAAAAAAATCCATTACTGCATACCCTTCGATCCGAATGAGTATGGACTGCTTGAAATCTCAGTTACGCAAAATACAGAATAGACTGG